ACAAAACCGTGCCAGAGTTTGAAAATAATATTTTGATTTTGGGGGATACTTTACATGAAGACCCAACATTTTATAAACTTTCTCATAAATTTACTCTACTATAGAACTTCAATAGAACAACAAGTTTCATTGAAATAATTTAGAGTAACTAATTTTCTAAATACATTTTTTATCGCGCATTTACGTATTTTCATCGTCTATTTTTTTTCGCAAGAACCTAAAATTGTTTTGCAGGTGCCTGGAATTCATTCTTAATGCATAAAATGCCGTCCCTCACAGTCACGAACTTTTGTTGGCTTCGCAAATTTTCGACACGACGAAACTCTTATTACGATTGTTTCCGAAGTTTTACCTCCTACTGATATCAATACGTCCCTCACACAGCCCAATGCTTTGGGATTTTAATGTCTAGGAAAATTAGACTAGGTCTCAATAAGGCTAAGGTTGTGATACGAGTTAAGGAGTTGTACCTTTGTGTACATTTTTGTATATTTAATTTGATGGTTTGAATTTTCTTGAGAAGAATCGATTAAACAGTCACGTGAGACACCAGGATGGAACTGGTGTAAATAGCAAATAAATAGTGGCATAACCAGGTTTAGGTTTTTTCATTCCTAAAACTATGCCTTTGAATAGGTTAAAATATTTGACCAAAACACCATTGACCTTTCAGTAGCCTCATTACATATCACTAGTAATTCTTTTCCCCAGAACAATCAGACATTTTAGTTATGCTTTTAAGGTGAAAACAGTTAAAAATTGTCGTTTGCTTGCTAGGTGAATCGGTGCTCTCGCCAGGTGATACGGGCGATGTATGTTCTGTGTCAGAGGAAAGGTGCGTCGTTTTATTCTTATGTAACGTTATGACACAATCAAAAAACCTCGAGCCTGCCAACGACGATCACGCCGTAACTTTCAAGGCACTTGACACGAAAAACAATTCGCTGGTTCGAAACACCAAATAATATTGTTTGTTATATACGTATAATATTGGTTCTACGAAATAAAAATAACTAGTGATATTACAAAATGGCACAGCATTTCCCGTACGAGATAGTTCCCTTATCTCTTCAGTCTGTGCTATCTTTTGGGTTTTGCTCCACCCTCTTCTCAAATACAAGCTACTGACGCTAAAATATGTTTTTAACTTTTCTCTATTTTTCGGATCTCTAACATTTCAATTGAAATATAACTACAAGAATATTACAGAAGGGTAAAATCTTATACACACATTTTCAAAGGTAAATTTGGAACAGTTTTTAAGAAAATGTCATTTGAGCGATTCTGAAAACGAGCATTTCGAAGCTCATTTTTACTTAAAACTTTTCATTTTTCGATAAACTTCGTAAGATATTACTTGAAGGAATTGTACTTACAAATGCGACTAAGTACTTTTGTTTAATTTTTGAAGGAAAAAAAAACCAACAGCAACAACACAAAAGAATTACATTCAAGTGGCGTTTTTGTCACGTTATTCAGTACATCCAGAATCTTCTGCACACCAAAAAAAAAAAAAAAAAGCTGTTATTGATAAACTGGCTCCAAAAGTAATGAAATGTAAAATGGTGATAATATAAATATTAACGACGTAAGAGAGATATAAAAAATTACATTTGTGTATATTTTGAAAAAGAACAACAAAATAATAGAGCGAAATTACGTCTATGTCTTCTGTTGCAATGCACTATGCCTGCAAAAAGTTAAAAGAAAAAATGGAACAGTTTCAGAACATTTAAAAAAAATATATTTTATATTTTCCGAATTTCACACAAAACTACCCCAAAGCTACTAAAACTTTCAAAAGAGCGTACACGACAATAATTAAAGAACTAATCGTTGAGAACAAGTTTCATTTGAAAATAAATCGCGCTTTTTCAATATTGGAGACGCCGAAAAATTCAAGCTTTAGTCATTTTGGAAAATTCAGAGTTAACAGATTCAGACCTATGCCATCTTTAGAAGTGTATTTCACTCTCTTCTTATAAGGAATTTAAAGATAAAATTGGAGCAATTTTTGAGAAGATTTTATAAAATATTCCAGAGATTTCATGTAAAGTAGACCCAAAATTTAAAGAATGTTTTTCAAAATTACATTTTTGTTATGGACCAGAAATATTTTGGAAACAATCCTACAAACAGTTTAGGCGCTTGTGTTTTTCAAAAACGGATGGACGTTTTGAAAACATTTTTTAAGCATCAGGGAACCTTAAGACGTGTATTTCTCTTGAAATTTCGTTACCTGATTTTCAGCAAACATTACATATATAACTTTCTCAATACTACGTATATTACTCGGTTTACACGAACGTAAACGAGAAAGTGAAAATAATGTACAACGGGCGATTTACGGGCAAGAGGACCTGTTGCTAGAGAAGACTATATTTAAAGAGATTTTCGCGCTCTGTTTTACTTTGAAATGAACACTCAATACCACACTGTCACAAATGCCACAGGTCCGATTCTGTTAACTCTGAATTTTCCAAAATTACTAAAGCTTGAATTGTTATACAGTCACGCTGACGGGGTGGATCCAGCCGATCATTTTGGAAAAGGGGGTATGGGTTTTTGTTAAATAACAAACATATTTGTTATTATATTGTATATTATTTTTGTGGTGTGTGTGTATATATTATAAAATATTACTTTTAAAATAATTACATAATTCCAAGATAAATATTTAAATCAATTTTGCCAAAGGAAAACAACAAACGAAAACTCTAGGCCTTTTTTGGGGAGGGGGGGGGGGCGGCATGTCCCCTCTCCTAGATCCACCACAGTATGTTGATCTGTTAATGTTGATCGTGCCTCATCTAATATTTCCGAATTCATAAAATACTGAAAACTTATCATCAGTTTCTAATTTTTATTTTGCAACCTCAGAAGTAGGTTGTCATGATTGTAACTATTTTTGAGCAAATTTTACGGAAAGCATTTTAGAAGTTGAAGGGGGTCTAAAGCTTAAACTGGCAAATAAAAATATCTCATTTTGTTATCAGAATTTATTTCTACATTTCTGATTTGAAAATGGTTGATGGTGTTGCAGATCTGACAAAAACGAGTATGATCTGTCAAAACAAGTCAGATAGAATCTTGTCATTTTGAGGCCATGGTTTTTGGAATAACGATTACAATTATATGTAACATCTTCATTTCAAATACATATTTTCTACAAGGAAAATGGAAGTTGTCACAGATCATTATAAATATTGTCATGTTAATATATTACACTTAATAGGAACACATGATTTTTGCAGTAGGGATTTTAAGAAATTTATTGAAAACCTGATAGTATTTAAACTAATAAAACCAATTACATTAATTGAAAGAGAAACCAATGAATGAACTTGAATGCAGTTTATTTCACACATTTCAACAAATTATTGTGATGAAAAAGATTTCTTTCAGTTAATGTCATCCACGATTACCATAAGAATGTTCATTGAGGGTAGGATGTGGCTTGCAGACCACCAGTTTAATTTCCCTACTACAAAGCACTGTCATGTATTTATTTGAAAGCATTGTCATAGCTTTCAAACGGCAATTACTAAAATATGATTCAGAATACAAAAAGTATACCATATGTGTTTAATATATTTGTATGTTAGACAACTAAAACAAAACAAACAATTAGTAATTCCAAATAAAAGAAACATCTGATATTCTAAAACATTCACTTTTGTAATGCTGCTTTAGATTCCAATAAAATATCACAATATTGCAAATGATACCATCTCTCTCCCCGACAAAAATAATAAATAATGTCAGTTATTCAGAATCAACCCTTTATTAATTTTTGAAGGTGAACAAAGGTTTAAAGAAATATGAAGCATTCCTGAACCGAAGCCTTTTTTATTTCTATAATAATTATAATAGATTAGTAAATATTTCTAAAACAATTGTAAATGAAAAGCAGTTTCACATAGAAATATGTTTTGTCAATAATATGGTGTCAAAAGGAGGTGACAACAATAGTCACACCACAATCAAAATATTATACAGGAGCAAAACCTTCCTCTGATAAGAATAATGTGTCAATCTATCAGTGAACATTTGGATATTGATCATACAAAAATATACTCAATGAACATCCTCAATAATACTAAGTATTAAAATATAGGATATTTTGATGAAAATATAATAGATCATAAAAGAAGATACATGCTGCAAATCATTGAGCATCAACTTGTTAAGTTTGAAATATCATCTAAAACAAAACTCTTGCAATATTGATATTCATAGAAACGTTACATTTATTTAGTAACAATGACAGTAGCTACACCAAACTACTACTTCCATATAAAAAAGGAAACAAGGTAATTTTGTAGACTATTAAAATTTGTATTATTGTTTTGTAACTGATTAAATTTCACGTTTAGAAAATATAAGACCTTTTAGTATGACTGTTTTAAAGTTAGGATTATGTTCTTCATACTCATAGATAAGTTTTCAATAAATATTGGTGTAGATGGGTCAAACGTTGTACATTTTTAATATTTTTTTTTATAATTTCATTTATAAATATTTTTTATATCAAAGAGAAAATATATCCAGAAGTATTGATGTTGTATAAGAAAAGGCAAGAAAGTAAAAAATGTAAAAATTAGCGCTAAATGAACACTACAAATAAAAACAAATTACATGCACAATAAAAGCAAAGCATCTCTGAGTTTAAAATGTTCTCAGTACAAAAAGACAAATAATATTACATATATGCATGTTATATTTCTAAAATTGAGGTTTTGTTTGTGACTACAATATTTAGAACACTTCTCCAAACGATCATTATCGTTTTCCTTCTCTCATTTCCCTATAAATGAATTCCTTTCAAATATTCACATCCATCTCATTTTATCAGATATTTTCTTTACAACAACACATTTAATGTTTCAACGATCAAGTGAAGAATAAATTATGGATGCAATTAAGTCATTCTTGACAACTGATTCTTACCCCAACCATATTCAATGAAATAGTAAAACAAAGAAAATAAAAGTACTCACCATTATTTACATTAGCATCAAGTCTTTTCAATTCATTATGCAACACAACAGCAAGCCAACTAAGTACAATCAACCAGCATAATAAAAGTGTTGCAGCTAAAGACAGACCAACTGTTCGTGCATTACAGGTGCATGGTTCTCGATACCTCACACGATGTCCACTAGAGCCTCTCACACGCCTACAAGCACACAGATGTAAAAACTAAAGATCCACGACGAGCACATATAAATTAAATCACTATACATGACACTACTAACCTCCTAACTTTCTTCTTTCGAGGTGCCACAAATTCTGGAATGGATCCTGAATCACTTCCTGAATCTGACATACCAAGTAAAGTGAAAGATTCTTTATTGTTATTCTCCATTTTGAATAGACCAAGTAAAATTTAATCATGACAAACGAAGTAAAATAGAATTTTTGACACTGATATGATATAATTAGTGTGAAATATGCCCTACTTAACCTATTATCACATCAACCCAGAGTTTGTAGACACAAAAACATGCAAGAAAATAAAACTATTCATAATAATTGTCTTGGACCATTGTATTTTTCCTGTTATATATTTTTGCATGTCAATTCAACTGCCACAGAACACATTATAAGAAAATATTAGCTGATAATCATCACAGCTGAGTGAGTCATGTTCGCCAACTTGGTTCACCTGACACCTGGACGGGCGCAAGGTTGCCAAGGATGCCAATCGCTCAACATAAGATGCCAACCATGCATGTGGCACTCCGATGTTCATCGATGGCGGGGCAAATGATTCTCCTGCACTCACCCACGAGGTAAAGCAAGTAACATGGCGTATCCCTCATATGACTGACCATTATCACTCAGTCTACAAAACAATTTTAAAGCCAGATTCAATTAATGTTTCTTGATACATAAAAGAAGAACAATTCACAAGGGAGAAATGTTTCGTTCCTTTTTGAAAAATGACTAGAGTAAACACGAGTGGTGCCTGCGGGTGCTCAAGCAGTCCCATTAGCTGAGAATTTTTATTAGTTTCTTAGAATATTTGCAAAATGCTATAACTATAGGAAGTTTGTATTAACTCTTCAATACTAGCTTTCCATCTCGTAACCCGAAAGCTCGCGGGCGCTACTTATGTATTTCCAAGATAAAATTATGTATTTCTGAGCTATTACGAGTTTTGTGTTAACTTTCTGAACAATTACTCTGCTATCTCAAAATTATTATTTGTGTATAATATGAAAGTCTTATAAGTTTAACATACGTAGTATAAAATATTTTATTTATCCATCATGATTCATTCAGCAGTCGTAATGATAGTATATCACTATAATAATGAAAATAGTATTTGACTCTGGCAACCGTCTTTCGCTTTGCCCGCATGGCAAACTTTCTTTGAATAACATACACTTTATCAGTAGTGCTTGCGCGGGCAACAATATTGTAGCCCAACCAACTTCTATATCTATCTGACAACATGTTTGCATTGAAAATCTCAAAGGAGGCTAGATGGCACGAGTAAATCCAGTAACTGAAGCTACTGAAAACTCTGACCGATCTAAATTCCGTAGAAGTTGCGTGCCAGATAAAATAAAATGGTTGGGCTACACCTGTAGCCCGCCCGAATACTCAAGCGTTAATATAGATTACGTGCTAGTGGTATTGTAAAGAAAAACCTGATCCTCAATTAGGTAGTACTTTAAAACAATTCTTTTCATTATTTCCGGTTGCGCTGCAGCCCAGTTTGGGCCAAGTTTTTGCATATTCGCAAATGTACTGCCACTATATCAATTTCGTGAGGGATGGGCCATATGGGAATGCAGAATTAACCAAAAAATTGGTCCGACTGGGAATGAAATGGAAGCAGCCGCTGTTGAAGGTATTTATCTTCGCACGTTTTTTGAGCCCTCATGTAGCTAGATGCAAGAGGAGTGGGGAGGTTGATTATTTCGTCAACAGAACTATTATACAAAATATTTGGCTCGTTTTACAATGCAAAATAATGTCTATTACACGAGAGCGAAAATTTATTGTTATCAGATTGTGTCAGCACTGCTCGTTGCTTTCATTTATTCTTAAACGAACTAATATTAGTAAAAGAGTGAGGGTAGGTGTTCCGGGGCTCAAGAAAACGTGCGCGTACAATACCATGTCATCATCGTCCTAGAATTTACATTAAAACACCATTTTACAAAAAGTATATAGTTGAATAATGTAAATGGTATCATTATGGGTCGGAGTCGCCCCCACACGAATGTTTTTTTGGTACAAGAAGTATATTGGAGAGGCTTCAATGGTAATCTGTACTCTGTTAATAATATAATCTTCCCGCAATCATTTAATGCTGATGATGCTCACGGTTATCACTGATAGCACTACGATCTTTCGTATGAGATGATAATGTTATATCAGACATTAAATTTCCCGAGATCTCAATTTAGTAACTAGGTAATGGAATTTATTGTAATACAATTTATTGTAATACATATGCACATTTTTGCTTATTTCACAAATTTATGGTAAAATAAGCAAAATAATTAAATATGTATTTTTATTTCAAAAATATGCAAGAAAATTACGAACTATTAAAAAAAATCATAATCACGTTCAAAATTACCTGACAAGCATTTTTAAATTTTCGAAATCAAAACGTTGTCGATCGGGCACACAAATGGATTCATATTGGCTGAAATTCAGATTTGTAATTACTTATACAGAAGTAAGTAAATACTAGTCTGCACCACACAATTTTCACGAAATATAAAATGAATAGTGCCATAAATGGCACAGTCTTTCTCGCATGTTATTTTTCTAATCCTTTAACTCTGAGCTAGCCTTTCGGTATCATCTCACCCTTTTCTCAGCTGGTATTTATCGGCGCCTAAAGCCGTTTTTCAAACCATTTTCGATTCCCTAATAGTAGAATTTAAATACTAATAGGAATTTTATATACTTTTTAAAATACTAATAAGACTGTAAGAATATTATGGAACAATGAAACATAGTCTTACATGCACATTTTCATTGAAACATTTGAAGCCACTCTCGTGTAAATGCCGTTCAGAGGGGGGCGTTGAGTGCTTTGCGCGTTCGGAGTAATCATTAATATAAACGCTGGAGTAATCCCCCATTAATCATTAAACATTGTCATATCCGTCACGTCTCGTCACAGCGAATGGTCAAGAAGACCGCCAAGTAGCATCTCCCCATAAGCGCCCCTGCGTCACTACTCAGCGGTCAGAGTTAGGAGGGAATAAGGATTTAGGACGCTTTACAGGAGTTGGACTAGCCCTTGTGAAGCATGCAAACTTTTTTTTTTCGTGAAAAATTTCACATGAGGTTCTACGGGAATCTAACCCAACCTCAGTGATGAAAGGTAAGCGACTTCGCCACTGAGCCACGAGAGCATATCTTTGCCATTGTACTCTTCGTTTGTAAATGAATGGCCATTCTTTGATTTTACTTTACGTCTAGAATTTTAATTAATCTTTGACATTGTACTTTACTAAAATGTCTCTTTTGTAAATTTCCATTTCCCTTTCGATGATTTTCACCAGCACTCTTGATCGGCGAATCTTTTTTGGCCACCAGAAATCATTTCTTTATCACCTGCGTCGTAGTACAGCTTTCATCCACTTCCACGCACGAAATGATCCGAATTTCTAAATTTTAAATTTCATTTTTGGACTTAAAATTCTCAAATACTATGTTCTCTTCACTACAATTCCTACTGTACAATCATTTCGTTCGCGTATTTAAAATAAATTAAAACACTAAAATTTAAAATCGTCACATATCGCGGAGCTTATCAAAACGCGTCTCTACTACACATACTTTCCATTAGCTCTTTTGTGACCTTAACAGCAATACTACTTGACAGTCCACTATTCTTTTGGGTGCAGATCGATCCCTAATGCGTTTCTCTTTACGCACAGTCTTCATTTGACACACCTTCCATGCATACTCATTCGCTTCTGCGTTTCATCATCCTTTCCTTGCACTGTTTACGTTAAGAAAATAATTAATATTTCTATTCACAATTAAAATTAAGCATCTCTTAAACTATTCTTTATATCCTTTCTATTTTTCTCCTGTTAAATTTCTCGTGTCCCTTTTTTGGTTCACTCGGGTGTCCTTTGAATATTTTATTCGTGTTTTCGCCTATTTAAAATTGAAATGGAAGAATCGACGGAGGCAAAGGAGACGGTGACGGCGGAAACGACGAAGACGAAGGGACAAAGGGAGACGAAGGAGATGGCGGAGACGAAAGAGACATAGGAGACAATGGATACCGCGAAAACGGAGGCCGCTGAGGCGAAGAAAATGACGGAGACGACAAGAGGAAGAAGCAAAGAAGACGGCGGAGAAGGCGAAGAGGAGGAAAAAGAAAAGAAGAATGCGTATGCGGAAACGAAGGAGACGGCTGAGATAAAGGAGACCCAGAAGAAGGAGACGGTGAAGGCGACGTAAACGAAGGAAATGACGAAAAAGAAGAAGACTTCTGAGAAGAAGACGTCGATCAAGTAGATGGCGGAGATAAAGGAGACCAGAATACTTAGAAGACAGCGGGGACGATGATAACGGAGCAAACGCCGGAACCTAAGGAAATTGTAGAAACGAATGAGGCAGTGAAATAGAAGGAGAAAGCGGAATTCGAAACACAAGACGGAGACGAAATAGACGGCGAAAAAGGAGATGGCGGAGGCAAAGGAGAGAACGGAGACTGCGAAGACGGCGGAAACGAAGGGGACTGAAGACGAAGGAGAAAACGGGAACGGATAGAGCGCGAACGGGCAGAGTAAGGACAGACGAGCGGACGGACAGAGGGTTGGGAGAAGCATACAAGGACAGACGGAAGAACGGACAGACAAATGGACGTACAGACGGACCTATATTCGGACAGACGTATACACAGACGGTCGGTCAGTCTTGTGTTAGATTGCGATGGATTCCTCTACTTGGAGACTTCACTTATCCAACCCATGCCGCTACGGATAGTTTCATCCCGCAAACATATGTAAAAGTTTTTGAAACCTCGAGTAATTTTCGGGTAATTGTTGGTTGAAGTTAACCCTATTTATTAAAAACGTGTTCAGAAATGGATCAAAACTTTTTCTTTAATCTTTTCCTGTGATAGAGCAAAGGACGCTTCCGTTACCATTGAACCCTCTGAATTTTCGAAAACTGCAAAAGTTACCAATAATGCGAAAACGTCTATATTGTTGTAGCACAGCAAGCATTCATAACGATTACGGCAGCATTAACTTAACTTGATGTATACGCAAAGTAACAGTGGAAGAGCGTCACGTCCTGACAATGTTGAGGATAATAATGTATCCAGAGAAACGAGGGTACCCCGATGCCTTTCCACGCCAGTGCAATGAGACGTTTGGCACAATGGGATGACGGGAGCACGTCTGCGCGCCTCGACATGCGGACGGACGGAAAGGCCCGGAAAAGACGCAAGAAAATTCAATGTCTCTCAGACACTCTGAACTCCGTTTTTAAAAGTAAGACTGGCCATTTCTACCTTCCAATTCCACAGTTTGAAACTTAGGTTATCAACTACAAAAATATATTTATTATATTTATTGGACACTATAAGTCAAAGAAATCGCGTGCTCTACTCTAACG